GCACCCTAACACAGTTCACTCCTTGGTTGTGGCCTCTGCCCTCTGAGCTGGGAGCTGCTCCAGCCACTGAGTACCTTCCTGCCTAAGGTGACCACCCTTTCCCTGCACCCCTAAAGTGATGACAGGAAATGGAAACGTGACCAGGGACCTACAGAGTGCAGGGGCACTCCTGATGCTTTCAGGCTTTTGTGGGGTGCATGAACTCTGCCTGAGAGTCAGGAAGGGGTGGGGCCCCAGGTTCCTAGCTCTGCTTTGACTGTGATCAAGTCCAGACATACACATGGGTGCACACACCCGATCCCATGCTCTCACTGGACACTGGAACTTCGGCTGCCTAGCTAAGCTCCCAGCCTCACCTGGCAAGATTTAAATTTAAAAATTTTAAACACACACCCCCTCCACCCAGTTTTCATCAAGAGAGGCATAAAGAAAAAGACATTTAAATTCATTGATAATAAGCCTCTCCCCTCAAAAGAATAAACCCGGGGCCTAGGCCACCTTTCTCAACCCAAGAGTGCTCACTGTCCTCCTTCTTATTCTCCCACGGCCGTGGTTCTCGGCCTGGGCTGCACATCTGACCCACCTTGGGAAGCTTTTCAGGTTCCCAGGACCCACCTGGCCCGGGAATTAAACCAGAATCTCTGGGGGGTAGGACTCAGGCCTCAGGATTTTCGAATCTCCAGGCGATTCCAAAGTGCAGCCAAGGGTGGGACCCTCCACACAAGTCGGAGAAAGGATACAGACACTGTCAATAGCTTCTGCAACTTCAACTGAAATAACGTATAACGAAACCAATTTTACTAAAAGCGAACTGATATTAACAAGCTCCTACAATATCTCATCCACATTATAACAAACGGCATTGAAGGAAGTGACACTATTCAAGGACCTGCTGTACTGAGGATGCCCTGATGAGCAGGGAAAGGAGAGAAAAGGAAAGCTACACACAGTGGGCAGGGAGCCAAGGGGCGGCCCCAGGCGCTGGCTTCTTCCCCAACCCCTGGCAGAGCGGCAGGGGGTGGATGGGAGCAGCAGGTGTGCACTGGCCAGGAGAGAGGACCCACATTCCTCTGCTCCCACCGCCTGCATCTTCTGAGGACTCGCACCTTCCCAGCAGCCTGCATTCAATCAGCAGCGTTGACCGTGGACTTGAAGGGGGCAGGGCAGAGAGCGAAAGAAACAGGCTGCTCAGTGAGACGGAACGAAGCCCTTTGTGCAGGACGCTAGATGTGGTGGTTAATTTCTTAATTCTCATCGCGATGCGGTTCACGGGAGACTCCCGGAATGTCTTTATCCGTCGCAGATGGTTTGGGAAGATGATAAATTAATATCATTTAAATGGGGGCATGGCTGAAATGGTTAAATGGCAACGTCTTCTTTGCTGGCTCCAAAGGGAAAAGCGCCCCCCGGTCCATAAAGAAGACAAATGGTAAACAAAACCCCCTAAGCTTTTGACAGATTCCAGGACGCGTATCCTTCACAAACCATTCTGGGGAGAAAAGAGAGAGATTCATCTCATCTGACTTTGTATAGGACAACAGCCCCCGCCATAATGAGGCCTTCGCGGGGCTGTGAAATCGCACTGAATAGCCGGAGAGTGCAGCCGCCTGTTCCCGGGGCATGTTTATTACAGCCCTTTGTATGCCCCAGCCCTGCCAGCCTGGCTTGGTTCTAAACCACTGGAGAGGAGAAAGAACCCAACAAATTTGTTGCTACGAAACTTCCCGGATGGGGGACTGCATAATCACGTTTGGAACCGAATGCCCTCGCTCCACACCGCTCTTGTCTGGGTCCACCCCTGCTCTAGACGGAACAAGGTTGGGAGTCAGCCATCGCCAGGAGTGTATGGGTGGCCTCAGCCCCCTGCCGGGCTCCTCCCAGGCCCTGGGAAGTCGGGCGGTAAAGGGGGCCCTGATGCCATTCCTCCGGCCAACTGCCAACCTGCGCCAAGAGCCACGGCCAGTCGTCTCAGTGCCCCTGGAAAATGCATCGGAAACAGAGCAAAGGAGGAGGCAGGCGGCCTTCACCCGAGGGCTAGGCCGAGGCTCCCTGAGGGCAACCCCAGGAGGCCAGGGCATGGGGGTAGCTCCTCAGCGACAAGGTCTGGAAGCTTCTGAGAGCAAACCCTGGGAGATCAAAATACTGGGCCAAATGCTTCCGCCAAAGGAATCACTTCCTTAAGCCATCCAGCCCTGGAAGGCAAGACAGCGGGCTCCATGGAGGTGATGAAGAGACCTCCCTCTGCAGATCTCAACGGTGCATATCCCGCCCCCCTCCCCCCACCCCCAGCATCTCAGCTCCTCCACCTGGTTCCTGACAAGACGGCAGGGTCTCTCTTTGCTGAGAAGTATCCTGAGAGGGAACTGAGGAGTCCAAGTTCCCACATCTCCTTCAGGGGGGCGGGGGTGACAGCAGGAAAAGAAGGGCAGAGGGGGGGACCTGGAACTGTCAGGTCACATTCTTCTTGCTCAGCGCTCAGAGCAGTTCCTCCCCGAAGTGGCTTTTCAGCAAGCATGAAGCCCTTCGGGCAATGCTGTTCCCCACCAATCAGTGTTAGGACCAGCCATGTAGCGTTTTCCCTCACCAATCAGGTGGCAGGATCCTGGAAGCATTGTTTTTCCTCACCAATCAGGACACACTGAGAGTCCCGCCCTTTCCTGTCACTTTTCCCCAGCAGGATATGCAGGAATCCTTCTGAGCAGAATCCATCCATACGGTCCTCCTCCTTCTGTGGGTTCTTCTCCCTGTGCTCCTACCAAGACAGGGGCAGCTGCTGTCCAGGGCTGAGAGGGAAGACACAGCCACTGCGGCTGGCCACAGCGTTTGAAATAAGACAGGGCCACACCCTTGCCTGCCTGCACTTGTTCCTCTTGGGGGCTGAGTGTCTACACACCATTTAACCAGGTGGCAGAGCCCCAGAGGATGACCTGCAGGTTCCAGAATCCTGTGGCTTCTTGACATCTCACTCGAAGCGGCAAGAGGCCACACGTGGGCCTTGTCCCACAGCAACGGAGGGGAGGAGGGGGAGGCAAACGGCAGGGCGGCCAAGATGCTCCTTCCTGTCTCTCCAGGGGACACACCTTCCCTGCTCTGACAGCGGAAACAGACAGGGAGAGCCCAGACCGTCTCACCCACCAGCAGATTTCTCCATTCATCCAGCTGAGTGGCCACTTTTGATCAAAATTTGTTGGCCAAATCCCCAAGATATCTGTGTGCAAGCAGCGGTTTATAAGACCTTGGCTTCACTTTCTTCTGTCAGTGAAATACAATGAACACTTGGGCATAGGTGAAGGAGTTGGATTACCTTCCAATTATGTTCTCTGACAACCCAAAGCCCTCACTTGCTGGTCATGTCCTGCTCATGCCTTCCTGCCACTGCAGGCCTTTGTTGAGTCCCTTTGCCCAGGCCGATTTCTTAGTCCCTGCTCAAGTCTCCTGGGGGGCGGGTTCTCACCTGGATGAGTTGTTGTTTGATGTGGAAATAGCCCAACTACCTTTATGCTTAAGTTTCTCTTGACAACCACCAGAGGCAGCCTTAAGTCCACAGATCAGAAAGGAGAGCCACCTGTTCATTTGGAATCGAAGGGATTTCTCCCGGAAGACGCAGACTGGGAACCTGCTTTGTTTTTGTTGGCTTGTGGGGTTTTTTTGCGTATGTTTTTTGTTTGTTTTTTTGAGAAAAGCGTTTCAAACAAGCAAGGCCAGCATCATGGGCACATGCTCATAAGGTCACATGCTTGATTGAAGCTCTGCTGTTGCCGTTTTGAAATCCTTAGCAATTCCTGAACAAGAAGCCCTGTATTTCCTTTCTTTTATGTATCTCTGTGTGTGTGTATTACTGATTGCAGAGAGGAAAGGAGAGGGAGAGATAGAAACATCAATAATGAGAGAGAATCATTGATCGGCTGCCTCCTGCACACCCCCTACTGGGGATGGAGCCCGAAACCCGGGCATGTGCCCTGACCGGGAAGTGAACCGTGACCTCCTGGTTCATAGGTAGACGCTCAACCACGGAGCCCCGCCGGCCGGGCACGAAGCCCTGTGTTTTCATTTTGCACCGGGGCCTGCAGGTCGTGCGGTTGTCCTGCGCACCAGTGCCTGACATCGGGTGGGTTTCCTGTTGAGAAGATGATGCTCTGGCTTCGTCCAAAGGCTAAGCAGTGGCCACAGAAGGATTTCTCTGCGGCAGCTCATCACCTGGGCCCGAGTCTGCCACGGCTGGGGTCTCTCAAGTGTCCCCCAAGAGCCCTCAGAGATATCAGCTTGGGAAGCCATGCTCACAGCAAGCCCTGGCTCCAGCCTCCAAATTCTGGACCCAAAGAGCCCCGATTCCTGGAATTCCCAGAAGCGAATGGGGTGGGGCTCATTCCTCCCCCAGTATCATGCAGTTCCCTGGCGTTTCATCAGCTCTTCTGAGCCATCTCACCATTGTTTCTTTGTGTTCGTGGGAGACAACAAACACGCAACATTAAAACATCAGTGCCTGCTTCAGTGAACGGAAATAGTCTCCATCTCCCTGTCGTACTTTGTCCTGAGCCGTAAAGCTACTTGCAGGTGGATTAAATGCTCCTTCGGCGACCCTGCCCCTGAAGCCGCGCTGTCTGTCTGTGCGAGCTGGGGGTGGGGCAGGAGGTGCATGCGACATCCAAAGAAATCCGTCTGCCGGGTTTTGGTAAAATAGAGCCCTTTGTGCGATGGTAAGCCGGGTGAACCTGACCCCCGCCCTGTGGTATGCGGCACACCTGTGCGAGGGACAAGCAGCTGGGAGGGGGCGGGGCGACCTGCACCCTCGCAGAGATCACACCTCCTTTCTTCTTCTCCCAGTCATTGCTGCATCGCCCCTTTGTTTGGGCCTGCACCTCCGAATGCCAGGGAGGCCCTGCGTGCGTGCGTGCGTGCGGGCAGGCGCGTGTATGATCATGGACAAAAGCGACAGGAAAGGAGAAGCAGCGAGGAAAGAGAGGGGGCAGGGGTGCCCGAGGCCCGCCCCCGCCACCTACCTTTGCAGGCCTTCCGGTGGGTGATGGGCTTGCCCATGTCGCGGTAGTAGCCCTCCTTGCAGTAGTGGCAGTGGCGGCCGGCCGTGTTGTGGCGGCAGTTGAGGCAGACGCCCCCGCTCTTGCGTCCCGACAGCTTGTAGAGCTCCATGTTGAAGCGGCAGCGCCGGGCGTGCAGGTTGCAGCTGCAGGCTGTGGAAGGGGCAGGGAGAGCGTCAGGAAGGGGCACCTGGGGGCCGGAGACTGCCCCCAAGCCCCCTCCTCCACCCGCAGAGCTTCTCCTAGGCTCCCCTCTTTCCCCCACACACGCTCATGGACCACCCTGCAGGCCTGAACCACGGGGAGACTTCATTTCCCGCGGCACCCGGCCCGCCATACACACTCAGGGTGGGGAGGGGACCTGGCATCTCCTTGTGCCCAAATCCGCTTGCTGAGGGCTGTATTGTGCCTCCCCCATTCACCTGCTACCCTAACTGACCCCGGGACCTCAGAATGTGACGTGTTTGGAGATGGGGCCCTGAAAGAGGTGGTTAGGCCTTGAATGAGGCTGTGAGGGTGGGCCCTCATCCAATCTGACTGGTGTCCTGGGAAGAGGAAGTGTGCCCCCGGAGCCAGACACCAGGGCACACACACACAGCTTGCTCTAGGCCAGTGGTCGGCAAACTCATTAGTCAACAGAGCCAAATATCAACAGTACAACGATTGAAATTTCTTTTGAGAGCCAAATTTTTTAAACTTCAACTATATAGGTAGGTACATTGTTATTAACTTAATTAGGGTACTCCTAAGGCTTAGGAAGAGCCACACTCAAGGGACCAAAGAGCCGCATGTGGCTCGAGAGCCGCAGTTTACCAACCACCGCTCTAGGCCAGTGGTTCTCAACCTTGGCTGCACATTAGAATCACCTGGGAATCTTTTTAAAATCCTGATTTCTGGGCCTCATCCTCCGGAAATTCTGTTTCTTTGTTACTAATGTTGTGGCCCCACTCCATAACAAAGAAACAGAATTTCCGGAGGATGCGGCCCAGAAATCAGGATTTTAGAAAGATTCCCAGGTGATTCTAATGTGCAGCCAAGGTTGAGAACCACTGATCTAGAGTGTGCCCTGTGTGAGGACCCTCTGCCTGCCCCCCCTATGACTTTCCTCGCCTCTGAGGACCCTCTTCTCCCAAGCCCCCTCCTCATCTGCCTGCAACCTGCTCACCCTCCATGTACTGGTCTCAGCTGTCACTTCCACGCCCACTGTCACCTCCACCAGCCTGGCTTAGGCAAGAGGGCCATGGGCTCCCCAGGCATCGGCACAGCCCCCACAGCCCTCCTCATGCCACCCCGGGAAGCGCGCTGCCTGCCTTCCCCCTTAGGTCTCTAACGCCAACATAACTCCAGCTTAGATCCGCCCGATCTTGCTCACCCTGTCACATAATTTGCCCTGCTTTTGGGCTAAGCTTGTTTTAAATGGCATTTTATGTAATTTCTAAGGAAAGACGTGCTTCATGCCAGACATTTGAAAAACAAAAGCAGAAAGGAAAAAACTGCACTCCGGCTGCTAACACGGGGGGCCGTCCTCGCAGACCTGAATGGACATTTGCTCAGCTGTGGAGCTGTTCAGTTCTGCAGCCACGGATCACACGGTGCATCTCGGGCTCGTGGCCTCGTGCCTCATAATGGTGAGCATTTTTTGTGTCAGACAATGTTCTTCATGATTTTGAAAGCCTGTCTAGTCCACCACTGTCCGGACGCGTGTGATGGGGCTGCCTGGATCTGCAGTGGGTGCATTTACACTCAGGGCCTCCCCGGGTTGGGTGGCTGGGTTGCTTCCAGGTTTTCACTATTATTATAAACAACACACCGGGAACCACCTTTGCACTCACGACTTTTTACTCTGCTCTGATGACGGCTGTACAGTAAATTTCTCAAGACAAGACTTGGTAGTTAGGTTTGGGGTCTACATGTTTTAACTTGGGATCCAAACTGCCACATTCCCCTCAAATAAAGGCTTCCACTCCCATCAGCAGGATATGAGAGCTCCTAGTGGACACGCCCTTGAAAAGAATAATAATATGCATTTTGTATCAGCATTCATTTTTTAAAAAAAATCTTTGCCAATTCGTCTGGAAAACACACACACACACACACATATGATGTTAATTTGCATGTCTTTGATTCCCAGTGAGGCTGAACATTTCTCCATGTTTGTTTTTCTATTCATACTTCACTTTTTGTGCACTGCCTGCTCATGCCATTTGCCTAGTTTTCAAACAAGGTGTTGTTTTTTCCACCGTGTCTAGCGCTCTTAATGTGATGGATGAAAAACCACCTGTCCTTTCTACTATATAAGCTGCCAATGTTTTTACCAGTTTCTTATTCAGGTATTGCTTGTGTGGTTTTCACAAAATATTTGCCCCTTTAATGTTTTCCTGTGACGTCATAATAAGCTTCTTTAAATGTCCTGCCCGGAGTCGCCCTCCACATCGCGCCCCCCTTCGTCACTTGATTCACACGTCGAGATGGACAAGGGCTTCCGAGGAGGCTCAGCGGGGAGACAGAAGGCAGCTCACGCCTGACACCTGGAAGCAGCTGGACACAGGAGGCCAGGGAAGGCCTCCTGAGAGCGTCACAAGCTCCCTCAGCTCCCCAGCCCTCGGGGCTGAGCTCAACCAAGTACAAAGAGAAGCCACAGCCCCCAGCACTGGGGGTCGTGCATACCCAAGTTCATTGTCCCTGTGGACTCCCTCAGCCAGTCCAGGATGACGGAGCTTCTCAGCGCGGTTAAGTGACTACCAGCCCGGGACCACCAAGCCAGTAAATGGGGGGGGGGGGGCCGGGACCGGAACCCAGGTCTTCTGGCTCCTGGTCCACTGCCCTCGTGGAAGGAAGAACAGCTGGGCCTAGACTCCAGCCTGGCAGGGAGGCTTTCCTACCAGCACAGAAGCCACAGGGCCTGGCTCACCTGCCCAGGGACAGGCGTCTGGGAAGACCACCCAGGCCTCACCCTCTCGGGCCTCTCATCCTGGGAAAGGACTCAGGGGCAGCATCTTCTCCTTCCTTCTTGGAGGCAGATGCTAATCCTGTGTCCTCCTCTGTCAGGATGGCTCCAGCTGCCCCCCGCCCCCCCCCCCAGCCTCTGAGCCCCTGCTGGGAGCTCAGCCTGCGCCCCCACCCCGACTCCCACGCCCACCCTGAGGAGAACCTTGGGCTGGTTTCTCCCTTCCACAGGCACCTACACCAACAAAAGGTTCTTCAAACAACTGGCCACACAAAAGAAAACTCAAGAGGCTGAACATCAAAAGGCAGGGCTCCCCCCACCCCCACCCCACCCCCACCCCTCGGCTTGGAGCTGTCAGGGGACATCAAGTGGCGATTGCCCACGCTCAACCTTCTGCAAAGTATTTTACAGCTTGTTTTCTTTTCTCTTTGTTTTATTTTCTCTGCACAAATGGAAAAATGCAGCAGGCAGAGCAGCTCACATCTGGATTCCCCCGCTGCTCCACACACAGATGTCACCCACCTCCCCACCTGTCCCCGGCCCCTTTCTCAGAGACACCGTAATCCCCTGCGCCTTCCTGTTTATCCCCTGCCTCTCTCCGAGGCAAAAATATTGGGTATTAGTTTCATTATCAGATTTCAAGGCGGGGAGGAAAGGGCAGCTTTGTGAGCACAGAGAGGTCAGCCCCGGGCAGAAGGGCGGGGGGCGGGGGCAGCACAACTTCTGAGGAACCAGCACAGGCTGCCCCGTGAGGCGCTACGTCCTGTCCAGGGGTTCCCCCAGCCACCCCGAGCTCTATGCCCCCTCACCTGTCATGTGGGGATCACCAAGGATACATCATGTGTGGCTGCATTGCAGACCCAGGGGCATAACATGGGGCAGGAGGGAGGAGGAAGAGACCCCCCCCCCCACACACACACACCCTAACCAGAAACCCAACAGGAAATGCGGCCCAAGGGACGAGGTTCTGTTTTCTTCTCCCCTGAGAAGTTCTCCTATGTCCTCGTTAACATATGCCAGTCACCACTGCTCCTTAAGCTTCTTCAAAGCTCTCCCACCAACCTGGACTGTGCAACCCCTCACCACCCCAGGCCAGTTCAGTCCAACACACAGGTAGGCACTCCGGCCGCCTGCCAGGCCCTGTGCCACTGGCCGTGAGGGAGACAGGGTGGACAGGGCTCCCCCGTCCGGAGCTCCCCTCCGGAGGGAGGTGGAGGGACAGGCAGGCACGCTCAGCAGCAGCTCTAAGACAAAGTGAGGCACATGCTGTCTTTGGCTGTGTTGTTTCCATGGGGGGACAGTGTTTGCCTCATACCCTCCAGCCCAGAGCAGACCTCCATGTTTTTGTTGCACAAATGAGAGAGAGCAAAAGTAAGTCAGACAGAATATGGATGGACGGGTGGATGGATGGACGGACAGACGATGGATGAGTGCGTGAATGGGTGGATGAGTGGATAGTAGGTGGGTGGGTGTGAATAGATAGGCGGGTGAGTGGATAAATGGGTGGGTGGTGGATAGATGGATGGATGATGAATGAGTGAGTGGTTGGATGAGTATGGATGGATGGATCAGTGGGTGAATTGGCAGGTGGGTGGATGAATGAACAGATGGGTGGATGGGTGGATAAATGGTGGGTGGGTAGTAGGTATAGACAGGTTGAAGGAAAGATTGTGTGGTCTGCCCAGACTACCCCCTGACAAGCATGCTCCTGTGAGATGCGGCATTCCTTTTACCTTGTATTGCTACTTTAACGGTCTGTTCAAGTAGACTGCAGTGCTTTAAGGAGAAGAACCCGTATCTAGGATGCCCCAGACCAGCGGTCACCAACCTTTCAGACCTCACGGACCACCAGTGATCCACAGACCACCGGCCGGTGGCCGCTGCCCTCGACTCCTCTCACGACCTTGAGTGGGGCCTTGCACAACAGTGACTGAGCCCACACCTGCTGTTTGATGAGTTTACCAAGCACGCATTGGCCCTCCCCCGAAATGCCCGGATGAGCTAACCCCCAGTTCCACCAGGGCGAGCCCCGGCCCAGAAACAATCCAGCGATATCCCCGCCCTGTCTCTCGGGATATCTGGGGCCTGGCTCCCCGAAACTTCACGTGGCTCGGGGCTTTCAGTGGAGCAGGAAGGTCACCGGCGATGGGCCTCCTCGGAGGCTCTGTGCGTGGCCCAGGGCCCCTCCTCTGCCCTCCAGCACACA